GCAGTTTGTGAATGTTGCTTATCACTGACTGAGCTGGAGATGTGTGGTTTTGGTAAGAGGATTCAGAAGCAGGTGGTGTTTGGTGTGGCGACGTGACCTTCAGCGTTTGATTCTGAGCACTGCATGTACTTTGGAAACGCCATGTTAAAGCTGAGAGTCCTCCTCTGTTTGAACTGTTTTGTGGAAAGGAACATTTACGAAATTATAGTCAAATCATTTTGAGAGGCTCTTGCTGAATGGCAACCCGAAGTTTAAAAGGTCATTTACTCACCCACATTTACCTATACCTTTAAATCGTATTTATTGCTTGAAAGGTTATTTACGTGAACAATTTATGACCACTGTTGACATTTGAGATGAATGGCGATGTATTTAGCTCTGATCCCTCAGAAGGTGTGATCTTCCTGTCCCTGAACCCAGCATATAAGCCAGTAACAAGATTGTTTGCTGACTGGGTCAGATCTGATCATTGGCTTGGAAAAGTGGAATAAACTGCCGTTCCAAGAGTCCCGTCTGCTGCTTCTCACCAAGCTTGTGAAAGGAAATGCATGGGGTGGAATAGATCTCCATAATGACCCTGAATTTACTAGGTCAAAATCTATGCATAACCCTCTTTTGCTGGTGACCACAACATTAGGTAGTGGACACATCTTTAAAAATCTTTAAAACATTATGTCTCTGAATAGGCACGTCTCTGGACAGGTTTTAAAAAGCAGTACGGACCGCTTTTGGCATCAATCATTCTCTGATAGTGTATCACTATCTCTGTGTCTGCATCCTGTTCCGCAGAAGCTTGCCAATGTCAATGTGCGGCTGACATTTGGCCATGCACAAGTTGGAATATGCCTGAATATACTGTTATGTGTTGATCAGTTTTTGTTCAATATTTTTGTTCTCAATTATTAACAGGAATGGGTGTGTGTCCATGTGTGCATGAAGATGTACCTCAAAGTGTCGGCATAGTTTTGGATCCGGATGTGATTGTGTTTCTGTCAGCAAGATAGTCCTGTGACTGTGCAGCACTGTGGAGATTTGCTGAAGTGGTGTGTCTGTTTCACATCCTGCACACACTTTTGTCTGATACGGTCCATTGATGACCTCTGGTTCAAATTGTTCCAAAAGTGACTTTTCACGAGTGATTCCATAGAAGAATGAGACTTTTGGTCGCCCAAAGAACCTTTTATTGATCAGTTCTTAAAAGAACAATTTTGTCTTAGTGTAAAGATCTTTTTTATACAATCTAATGAACCTTTTTTCACTCTAAACAACCTTTTGTGTGATGGAAAGTTTTCATGAATGCTAAAGGTTGTTCATGGAACCATCGATGCATCCGTACAGTCCAGGCCCCATGGTTTGGCACGCATGTGAAATTTTCTAATTTGCACATGTTTTGTCTTGCCAGTTTACAAACTCAAGTGATTTTAAACCATTCCAGTGCAAGAAGAGGCAAAAGAGAACTCGATTTGTTCACACAGCCACAAAATTATGTCAAAATACCAATCTCAGCAAGTATTCTCGTAAATTGGTATTATGATGGTCAACATAAATTGGATATGAATCATATTATTGGATCGGTGTATAATAGGTCTTAAAGTGACAGCAGCCTATAAATACTTGCTGCTGTCGGTGTCATTAATCAAACAACAAAACACAGCTTTAGCAAAAATGTGTCTATATTTAATTTATACATTGAACACTATAGTGGTATTTTACATTTCTGTACCTAATTGTTAGACCTTACTTGTAACTGTTATATTGTATTTATCTGTGCTTGTAATTTGTGTTTGTCCTTATTTTTATTATTTTTTTAAATTATCCAACCTTTTAAAAAAGAAAAGAAAAAAAGAAAGCGTAATACGATCCGAACCGTGAGCTTTGTGATCTGTTGAACCACTAATCAATGAGTGTACTATTAGAGTGTAGGATGGTGATAATAAGTTACTGTACTATTTTAATAAAGTTGTACACTGTTACACAAGTTTATTGTCCATCCCGAAACCAGCGTAATGTCTACCTGTCCTTACAGTTTAAGATTACTGTGACCTAAGAAGTGACCTGGCACGCTCTGTCCGCAGAAACGTATTGAGTTTAAAGTGGGCAGATGTCCACTCACAACAAGTGACCATATGGAATAAGCTGCTTCTCTTGGACTCTGTTTAAAGGCTAACTTTAGTGAAGAGTTGTTAATGGACTGGACTGTCAGCGTCAGATGACCCTCCGGTGAATTAGATTTTTTTTTAGCTTGTCTTTTTCATTTAGTTTCATTTTTGTTTTTCTTCAGTGTTTTTTAATTAGTTTTAGTTTTTAATTAGAGTATTTTCTATGCTGTGTAATGATATTTAAATAACATCATTACATTTCCCAGGGCTTTCTGGTGCATCTAGAGGCATTTCCATCCATCCATCCATCCATCCCTGCGTGCTATCAACAGTGTAATTTTAATTACCCCATCTGTCGACATGATGCCAGTGAATGACAGTGCTTTTACGAACATATCCACATCGCTATGATCTTTCTTAACTGCTGCTTTCTCGCTGGCTGCTGTCATTTTTGTCGTGTGTTGTGAGTAACTCACATCTTTGAATCATGTTCAGTGTCTGGCTGGCTGCAGTTCACTGAACGGCCACCAGTGGTGCTAATAACACAGGTTTCTGAATTCTACATAATTTATTTTAAAAATGAAATGTGGGTGAAATAGATTGGGCATGTACTACTGCTGTAGATGCTGCCGTCCAAAAGCAGTTTGCCTTCAAGGAGTACATTATGGGTTCAATGATCAAATCCAGTTTAACAACATGGGTCTGTAAAACTGATCCCATGCTGTGTGTTGTGGTTGCACATGTGTGTTTACCAAAGCCTCAACCTAGCAACCTGCACCTACCACCCACCATTCCTGCGGTAGGTTTATTACTGTGTCCTCTGCTTGATTCCCAGTGCTGTTTTAATGATCTGAAATGAGTATAATGAGAATCCAAGTCCAAACACGTCAACATTGGTGCGAAAATATCTGTTTGTTTAACCAATGGAAAATGAACCAATGGTTTGGTGGTGCAGTTATCATAAAACGTGGCTCTTTTGCACCTGTTGAGATTGAAAATGGGCGATATCTCAAATTCATGAGAAAACATTGGCTGACACATATCTGTTCGGTAGTAGTTGATATTTCAGTTTTCCAGATCCATGATGGACTGGCATCATCTCCAGTTTTGCACATTCGACATAGTTGTGGAGTCAGTGCACAGTGATTCTCTGAGGAAACAATGCATCAGTGCCAGGCTTCAGAGAGGCAGTGGGTTTCACTTGTCCCCACAGGGATTATTGGGTTCAATCTGTAGACACTCAAAACTGCTGCTCCAACAGAATTTCATCCTCCCAAAGCCTCGGCTCGGGCTGCGTGAATAACCAAACACTCCCTCTCTCAGCATGCTGTTAGAAACGCAACCGGGCATGGGAATTCAGCGAGTGCCGAAAAACAGGGCAAATGAGACTTAACATTTCAATCATGGTAAAACCGCATACAAAATTTTAACTGCATGTAAAAATACTTAGGCTTCGAGGCAGTTTTGGTTATTTACTGATTTTAATCATGCCTAATAGATGTTTTTGGCAGTGGGTAAATTGCTTTGTTGAGATGACAACAAGAACAAACAATTCTCCTACCATTTTGCCTCAATTTTTACTGTACTTGTAGTTAGTTATAATCACATAGCCAGATTGTTAAAAAGTATCCATTTGGATTTTCATTTTTGATATTTACATTTTTAAATATATAAATATTTAGATTTTTATTTAAAAATTGTAATTTTTTAAATATATATATATACAATGAAGGAGAGTGATTTAATCATCAGAAACTCAAAATTGTTTGTTATCTGAACTAAATCAATTTTTTAAGTTGATTTGACAAAAGAAAAAATTTCGTAATTACTAATCATGAAAAGATTATTTTTTACAATAATTCTAATTATCAGTTTGTTTTTTATTAATGATTTTGTATATAGGCTATTATAATAATTATTTAATAATATAATAATGTTTTTTACACTTTAAAAAATATTCTTTGGAAATCATGACATTTATCACAATTAGTTGAATGTGTTGATAGCCCTAGCTTTATTTCTCTTTATTACTTTAATTGTGAGTAGAAAAATATACATTTTAAAATCAATATTTTTCCATATAATATATTTTGTATTTTAAAAATTGATAACATTTTTTATTTCCCCACAAGATAAATTGGTCTTTTTCTAAAAAAACATGCAGCTGTCTTTAATATTTTAGGGTTTGTGGCATCAAAAATTTAATCAAAACTAAAAACTAAAAGTTCATCAAAACTAAAGCAAGACTTTTCTTCTTTGCTTGCTAATTGTCCGTTTCTCAGGTGCATTGGTGAGAAAGAAGGGTGATATTATGGCTGATTAGGCTGTCGCCCAGGGGTGTTAGCGTTGAGTTTTCCCATAAGACACATCTGCTGTCTTGCTAATGGCTTGTTAATCCTTCTCAAGCTTGAGACTCATGCCTTGCTGCCACTGCATCTGGGGTCTGGTTACACTTCCATGTGCAAACTGTAGGTTTCTTCTGCTCTGACAACAAATTGCATCCTGCCCGCTTCCCACTTATCTGTGATTTGTGCCTGCCAGAGAGTGTCCGCTTCTCTGGGCTATATTGGGCGACTCTTTGCTGCTGTGGGACTGGTAGCAGGTGGCGGGCGGAGTCCAGATCCCAAGTCGAATATGGAGTAGAGCTTCATTGGATAAGAAGAACACTGAAGATACTGATGACGGGGAAGGATTTGGCTGATTGTCATGGGAAAATCACATTATTAGAAGGTTTAGCAAGACGTCTGTGTGCTGCCAAGCTTTCCAGTGCAGCATGAATGTGAGTTTGTGGACACACTTTCCACTGCATTGCTCCAGCTGTTAAGTCAGCGTGTGCGGTTGCTCCGAGCCTTGTGCCTCTGCAACCAGACAACTTTGTGCCAGCGTGTGCGTGGTTGAATGTAAAAGGATAAGAAGATGCCTGCTATTCTAGTCGCGTCCAAGATGAAGTCGGGATTGCCCAAGCCTGTGCATGCTACCGCGCTACCCATTCCAGCTAGGGTGGCAGCCCAACAGAATGGACCACTGAAGCCCACGCAGCCCAGCCTCATCCCCTTGAAGTCTCCCATCTACAGACAGCAAAGTCAAGGCACTGCAACTTTACAGAAAAAGTACCAGAAGGCCAAAGACACATCAGGAGACCCTCAGGTTGGAACACTGATGCTTTTAATTTGTATGTGGCTTTGTGGTTGCATTCATGTTCTAACAGATAATCATCCTTGTTTGGGTAGTTTGATTCCACACAGACAGTTTTATACTTTGATTAAATAAATAAATAAAAATATGAATAATTTGTGCATTGACCATTTGGTCAGTTATCTTTATAGTACTATTGATCGTCTTCATCGACCTCATCTAAAGTATCAGGCTACAACAGGTATTTTTTTTGTAATTGTGCAAATTATCACTTTGTTTCTCGTAATGGCATCTTTATATCTCACAATTGCAACTTTGTTCCTCATACTTCAGAGTTGCGACTATATCTTGTAATGTGAATTTTCAAGTAATCGCAACGTTATATCACAGTTACGACTTTGCAATGGCTACTTTATATGTTAAAATTACAAATCTCTAGTAACTTTTCTCTAACATTTGTTTTTATACTTGAGACTATATTGTCTCGTTACTTGTTTTACGTAATTGCAACTATATATCTCACAATTAAAATGTTGTTTCTTGTAATTGTTACTGTATATCTCAAAACTACAACTTTCTTGTAACTTTTTATCTCATAATTGGGACTGTTTTTTACATTTCCAACTTTGTCTCGCAATGTGACTATATCTCAATTTCAACTTTGTTCCTTGTAATTGCTACTATATATCTTAAATCTATAACTTTTTTGTAACTTTTTATCTCACAATTGACACTTTATATCTCACAATTACAACTTTGTTTCTTGTCATTGCTCCTTTACCTCTCAAAACTACTATTTTCTTGTAACTTTATCTCATAATTGGGACTGTCTTTTATATTTGCAACTTTATGTTTCGCAATGTGACTTTATATCTCAATTACAACTTTGTTCCTTGTAATTGCTACTATATATCTTAACTTTAACTTTCTTGTAACTTTTTATCTCATAGTTGACACTTTATATCTCACAATTACAACTTTGTTTCTTGTCATTGCTCCTTTATATCTCAAAACTACAATTTTCTTGTAACTTTATCTCATAATTGGGACTGTTTTTTATATTTGCAACTTTATGTCTCGCAATGTGACTTTATATCTCAATTAAACTTTGTTTCTTGTAATTGCTTGCTACTATATATCTTAAAACTATAACTTTCTTGTAACTTTATCTCATAATTGGGGCAGTTTCTTATATTTGCAACTTTATATCTTGTAGTGTGACTATCTCATAATTGACACTTTATTATATCTGAAAATTACAACTTTGTTTTTTGTCATTGCTCCTTTATATCTCAAAACCACAATTTTCTTGTAACTTTATCTCATAATTGGGACTGTTTCTTATATTTGCAACTTTATGCCGTGCAATGTGACTTTGTCTCACAATTACGACTTTACGACTTTTTTTGGCTACTTTAGATCTGACATTTTTTATATCTAGTTATGACTATATCTCGGAACAAAAAAGTTTAAAGTTTCTTTTATGACTTTACGACTTTACGACTTTTTTTGGCTACTTTAGATCTGACATTTTTTATATCTAGTTATGACTATATCTCGGAACAAAAAAGTTTAAAGTTTCTCATAATTGCAACTTTATGCCAATTCAATCGTGACTTTAAATCTTTCACAGTGTGGCTTCATATCTCACAATGACATTTTGTTTCTTGTAATTGTAACTTTATATCTCACAATATAACTTTTATAAAATAACTCTATGATGGAAACAGGCTTGCTTGCAAGGTGTTAGTGTTAATTGTGTTTTTGGAATATTAATGAACAGAATATAAAACTGCTAAATGCTTTGGTTTGTCATGTTGAAGTTCAAACTTTGCGGAGTTGTGCCCATATTCCAACATGACTTGACCTACAACAGCTGTGTACATTGTATTCATGTCTTCGAAACAGTTTCTCTTCTTTGGCCACATTACCACCATTGTAACTACTGTTTGTAGAGCTTCCCGCTGAAAGCTCATGTGTTTATACATTTACATGTTAAAAATATTATGCTTTGTAAGAATAGATCCTGCTGACCTGGTCAAAGCAAATTGCCTATGAAAAGTCGCAGTGTTCTTCTTTTGGTCCACGGCAGCAGTGTGTAAGTTTATGTCTATGAGTGTATGCGTACATGTGTTTATATAGCTTCATACGTTCAGTCGAGCTTTGAAGGCAGCGAAGAGCCAAGTTCTTCATGTGGCGAGGTAGAATAAAAAGCTCAGCCAGTTGGCCTGTAATTACAGCACACACGCACACATAGACACGGTCATGGAGGTTTTACTACAGTGCTCCATTAGCGGCGGTGAGCCGCACTGCAGGTGGGCATTTGGCCATATGGATGGGATGCCACACACACCAATCCCAAAGGCCAATAGTGGGCACCCTTTAGCAGACACTGGTACTAATATACTACTATGCCCCCACATTGCACTGCTGTCCCTCTTTGTTTTGGCCAGGAAGGTGGAAAATGCTTCACATTTATGAAAATGGCACTAAATGTGTTTTGGGACAGCATTGGTGAGGATTAGTCACGGTTGGTTGCCTTGTAAAACAACGTGATGAATGCAGTTACTAGTTTGTAAAATATCTGCTTTTAGTCTTGTTTTTGGAAATGATGGAATTACCAAAGACAAGGAATGGAAAGTCCATTACAAGTTTAGGGACCACTTTTTGCTCTCTAAATTGTCCTTCACAAATTGAATTGCTTGGGTTTTATTGAGCTGATCTTTAAAAACTCGATCTTGAACCTTAAATGGAGAAATGCAATTTGGCATGTTTGCTCTGTTTTACAAAAAGTGTTTTGGCTGTGATTCTGTCCAAATACCGTAGTTTACCATACTTTGATTTGGGATTTATATTTAAATGCAGCAGTTATACTCCAAGTTTGTGGTACTTCAAATGAAAACCAAGGTAATACCAGAGTGCTCCTTTTATTTTTATTTTTTATTTTTTTTGGAGCTATCTTGTTTTTAGCATCACTGTAAAAAAATCTGGTTTAGATAACATAATATTTTGAGGCATCCAGGTTACTTACTTTTGTAAGTGAGTGTTGTTATTGTAAACTACTAATAAAAATTAGTAATTGAAATAAAGCTTAAATTGTAGCTCTTGTGCCATCAAAAATACACGGAGGCAGGATTGCAGTGTCAGAACAACAACAGTTGTGTTTTTAATGAACTCATGTGTCAGAAAAAACGTGCATTAACACACCCCAAAACCACATGAACATCTTAAAGGGGACATGTCCAATATACATGTGTGTCGATGATGAGTGAATTATGTCATCAGATCAATGATGTGTGAGCTTGTATCCGCCTCTACAAAAAAAAAAAAAAAATTCAAATGTTGCCTAGGCTGAACTGATATAAGTTTCCTAGAACAAATACAAAATATATATTTTACATTTAAAAAAAATGCCACATCAAAATGTTTATAAATCCTATAATAGTATTAAAACATTAATGCCGATTGACCATCTACAATTGATTAATCTTAACCCTCATTTTTTTTGTTCAGAATGACTTGAAATTGATCAATTTAATGACGTTTATTTACAGTTCTCAGAAAAATCATTAACCAATATGTTTGTTATTAAAATGAATGTGGGGTCTTTTTGACCCCAAACAGAACATGATGGCTAAACACTGATTTGTTCTAATGTAATTGCGCACGTAATGCATCCTCATGTTAACATAGAACCTGGTTACTCCTCTTCCCCTGTGTTTTTATTATTCAAGATTATTATTCCCACATGCTGTCCACCGCAGCCTAGAGGTTTTGTTTACAGTGAAGGGGTGGAGCGGTTCTCCAAGTTCTGTGGGCAGAAATACAAACAACCCCCTGCAGAACTCACAAGGAGTCTCTGTATTAAAACCAGCAGTGGCTCCAGTTTTAAATGGTCCATGCTTAGCTCTGATCTGCATGATGGGCAGTCACACCAGTTCTTATGTCCCATTTAGACCCATTTGGATATAACTAGACCAGCAACAAAACACCTACAGCCCTTCATTTCTGACCTCTAGTGGCCTATTGAGACTCTGCTGCCTCCCAGTGCTCACTTTTTGTAGTTGCATGATGATTAATATACAAAGGCATTAGGGATGTTTGGAATTGCATAGTACCATAATACACATGGTAATTTTGCAGTATTCAAATATATTGTATGCAAAAAATGTCAAATTTATTCTGCATTATACAACCAGAACACATGACATACTGTATCACACAATGCAATATGCCTAGCTTGATACCATTTTTGAGAATGGGTAATGGTCTGGAAGCCATGACAACCTAACTTTTTAGGTTACTGCTACTTTTTTTCCATTTATAATTTTGTGTTTTATTTAAATTATTTATTTATATGTTTATTCACAAAATAAAAACAAATGTTAAAATATTTGATCAGACTGCCATTTTTTTCATTAATAATTTGTGCAAATATATTTAAATATATATATTTTTAATATTTAACAATTACCTTTTTCATATTTTTTCACCTCCATTGTTTAGATAAAATGTTTTAAAACATTTAAAAATATTTATTCAAATAAATACAATAAGAATTTAATCCCAAAAAATAATTGATCATAAAATAATCAAATATGTTTCTAAAGATAGTTTGATTTTTTTTTCATTTTTTTTTTTACATTTAAAAAAAAAAAAATGAGATGTACAACCTGATATTCCAGACTCTTTTGACAGCTTGCTTTTATTAATTTTCTTGGAAATTTCCCTGTCTACACTCTGATATTTAAATGGTAGCTGATCGGCCACAATGTGGCATTTGTCTTTCATCCATAAGCTCTAAACCCAGAGTTAGATGTTAAGTGCCTTTTCCTCATTCTGTCTCTCTCTATTTTTCTTTGGATGAATAGATTTATACAGATTGGGCCAACCACTACCTAGCCAAATCCGGACACACACGCCTGATTAAAGACCTCCAACAGGATGTTGCCGATGGCGTTTTGTTGGCAGAAATCATTCAGGTTGTAGGTAAGATTAAAGATTAAATCATTTTCCATATTTTAACAAACCCCTCTTCTTCCTTCAGAAAAAGTTAATACATAAAACCTACAATTTTGCTCCACCATACCAGTAAATCTAACCATAATGAGTAGGTTCGAGGAGGAGAACTGGGAAAGAAATGGACACACATAAGTATTAAGAAAACTCACCACCTCTGTTATTTTGAATGTGTTCTGAAGCTGTTTTATGAGATCAGTTTCTAAAAAGGGCCAATTTGTGGATGGTTTATGAGGCTACAAACTGTTTTGTGAACATTTTATTAAGCCAAAATGTAATTAACATATGCAAGAGGAGGATACGCGTTCCTTCTTATTCCTATTACAAATACAAAAGCCTGAAGACCACACCAAGTGGATGATGTGTTCATAAATCAACTAGCAGGTAAAAAATGGTGTTACTTTAATTCAATGCCTCTGTTTTCTTTTTTCCATTCAGCAAATGAGAAGATTGCAGATATCAACGGATTCCCAGAGAGTCGCTCTCAAATGGTAAGACTCAAAATTTCTGTCCGGAGTGATAGGAAAAGAAACAAATAAGTAGGCTAAAACTCTCAATCGAATATCACTTGGTGGTGGATCTAATGAAGAAGTGATCAAAATATTGATTTTGAAGATGTTGAAAATGATAGTTTTGAGAATATGGACAGGCCTTGACATTTAGTCCTTGTCATGTGCTGTCTTTTGGACAAGTAAATCGCTCATTCACTTTTTTGGTGGTGTAAATATTGCTAATTTATAAAGCATTTTTCTCATCAGCTTTTACATATAGGCTACTTAAATCTGGATATTTTTTATATTTATTATTTACTTTTATAAAGGCCAATTTCTTTAACCTTGCAGCATGTTTCATGTCAAATTCTTACATTTGATCAATAAATTCAGTTAGACAATATAGGGCTGTTAGCCTACTGAAATGGAATAATTTACATTGCAAAATTACAACATCAATAAATAATGTTTTGAGATTAATAATGTAAATAAATTTTTGAATATACATAAAATGCAATGATATACGTTTAAACATAAAAATAGCGCCAAAAGGTGGCGGCAAGTGACCGCCTTAATGAGTGAGTCATTGAGTCGTTCATTCAAACGGTTCGTTCAAATATTGAATCATTTAGGAACAAAACACTCCGCGAAAGTATTGCTTTCCTTCGATTTTCGCCGTTGAAATAGAACAAAACAGTCTATTGTGTCTAAAATGTAAGTAACTAAACTAATTTTTACTACTTATTGAACTATAAAATCAATGTACATTTGCAATTGTGTTAATATTCAGCAAAACTGCTCCCTTGGTCGTGCTATGTATGTTACATAACTATATCTATGTTCAGTTGTATGTATGTATGTATATATGTATATATGTATATATATATATATATATATATATATATATATATATATATATATATATATATATATATATGTTATATATAACAACATTTTCAAAATTCTTCTGTGTGCTGCTATGCTCAGTTGTTTTGATTTCTCCACGAAAGTCACAGCCTGACAGCACGCCTTTTGTTATCGGAAATACACCATTATCAATCGCTGTTTAAGCCGAATGTAATATAATCATAATCATTTGATGCTTATTTTTCTGTCTCTAAAGTTTTAAGCTAACTATACCTGACAGGTCGGGAAAGTAAAAATCTCTTTCACTTAAGTGAAAGCCCCTTCAATAAATCCACTTGTCCGGACAAGCTAGCTTTAAGGGTTAGTTAGTTAATCAAAAAAGAAAATTATCCCATAATTCGTAGATTTTCCATTTAAGCCAAATATATATGATAAATGAGAGTATATTATGACAGAATTTCCAATTTTGGTTAAACTGGCCCTTTAAGAAACAACCTCAGGGATGACAATGGCAGGTCTTGTTGACCTTAAAATCCTGGTGTTAACCAGCATGCTGTAGTCTGTCGTCTCGCCAGTGGTCAGGATATACATTGTAATGTCACATGAACACCGCAGGATGGACCCACATGGTTGTAAACCACAAAACTACCCTATTGAGCACCATCTGTTTGGTTTTGTTTCCTGTACACCTGAGTAAGTGTGCAAGTGTGGTGGGTTTTCCGAGGGGAAGTTTTCCGAGGGGACAGCCAGCTCTTGATTTATGTCCGTGTTTCTCTCTCAAACAGATTGAGAACATTGATGCCTGTCTGTGCTTCCTGGCTGCTAAAGGAGTGAATATTAAGGGACTTTGTGCCGAAGGTGAGCGGACTCTTTAAGGGTTAACTAATGCTCAATAATATTTAAAATAAGATGTCAACAAGATTCTTTTCTTTTTCTGCCGAACCACAGAGATCCGCAATGGCAATCTGAAAGCCATTTTAGGCCTTTTCTTCATTCTGTCGCGCTTCAGGCAGCAGCAGCAGACTTGGAAACAGACCTCCAGCAATGTTCAGATGCTCCAGAACAACCAGGCCCACCGATGCGCCAGTCCTGCCCTGCCTCCTCACACTTCTCCCTGTCATTCTCCTATTCAGCAACACTACACCTCCTCCCCATGTGCACAGAAAACACAGACAGACCTGCAGTCCAGGTATAATTTTCAATTCATCTACTGGATAGCTTTTTCATGGACATATAACATATCACCTGGATTGAAAGATCAGTAATCAATTTTTAATCTTTAAATAATTTGGTTGGAGGAAATTTTATTTTATATATATATATATATATATATATATATATATATATATATATTTATTTAAATTTATATATATATAAATTAACATATTATATAAACAAACATATAACATTTTTAGATGCTTTCATACTGCTCTTCTTTTTCTTCCTCCTTTAACTTTTTATGCCCTTAACATTTCCAATGATTAACCTTTCATTATAGTATGTATTAATATTTTGAGTGAGACTTTGATTTTTATTTGATTTTTTATTTTCATTTTAGTTGAAATAGTTTTGTGCTTTTGTCGTTTTTTATATATATATATATTTATTTATTTCTGTTTCATTTTAATGTTTTAGTGTTAGTATGTCATTTTTTATAAATTTTTTAAGAATTGTAGTAACACGACTTAAACTTATTTTATTTCAGTTTGTTGCCAAGGCAACATCTCTTATTTAAGATTTTTAAGTAAAAATTGTTAATCTCATATGAAATATTAGTTATATTAATAATTATTTCAACTTTATTTGAATTAACAAAAAAAAATTAAAACATTTTTAATCATTTTAGTTTTAGTTAACAATAACAACACTGGTTATTTCTCTAACTCTTCTATTCATCCCTTTTCTTTCTCTTTTGTCTTTCTCTTGATCTTGAAGTCATCCATCAAAAGGCTCTGATCAGAAAAAAGCCATGAGACTCTCAGTTGCTCAGAAAAAGAACTCTAGGTCAGCTTTCCAGATTTATACATCCACTCTTGAAAACATCACAATGTTCCTGATCTACTGTACTTGTCCTCCTAGTAAATTACTTCACAGCAGCACCATCTACTGATGATCGTGTGATTCTACACAAGCCCATCTTGTTTCCTCAGGGCCAAAAACATGTGAATCCCCTTCAATAGTCATTTTGTTCTCGATCATATGATCAGATGTGGACTTTAATATAAAAGGTCACTGAGGTTTATTTATATAATTTGCACTCCAGTCCTGGGTCTTTGCAGCATAAATAGTTATTGTTTAAAGAGAAAGTTTGAGTTTGTTCTGACTGAACTCTTTGTCAGGCTTCAGAGCCCCTCTGTGAGGGCGGCTGGAACGGGCACAGAGAGTACACCTCGAAACACCAACAGACGCAGCCAAAGCTTCAACCAATGTGACCGATTTAAGCCGTCAATCTCTGCCTACGCTCATGAAAGAGGTGAGTTAATCACATCCATTTACACAATCTTGAGAATGATTGTTATGTAAGCAGTCATTTAGTAAAAACTGTTATTGTTAAATCATCCTGAAAGAAAAACCCAAGGTGTCTTGCTCAGTGCACAATGAATAACTCTGAGGTATTCGAACCTATAACCTTTCACCCACATCTTTAACCACAAGGCCACACCACCCATGGAGTCGGCAGGCTTTATTTCAGTATTATTTTTTACTAGAATTACCTGTGATTTTTTTTTTTACAGATTTATCGTACTTTTCCTTGCTCAAATTGGGATTGGTATTATTGATAAAAAAAATGTTTTTCAAGAAATTTTATGATTTTTATTTTCAGAAACTAAAACTGGTCTTTTTAATACGTAAATATATTTCTCAAAAAGTATTTCTCCCCCCAGAAATTAAAATAGAACCAAAAATGAAGCTACTTACAAGAATGTCCAAGCTGCTCTTTTTTTTTCAACAAATAGTAGAAAAATGAAAATACATTTTTGTCATCATTTACTAACCCTTATGTTGTTCCAAACCTGTAAGACTTTCATTCATCTTCGAAAAACACAAATTATTAAAATTATTGTTAAAAAAATCGAAGCGATTTTTCATTTGTGTTTCGAAGATGAACGGAAGTCTTAGGGGTTTGTAACAACATAAGGGTGAATAAATGATGACAGAATTTACTTTTTATGTGATCTAAACCTTTAAGCTCTCAGAAGTGGATAATGAAGAGAATTTAGGTCTGTTCCTCATGCTAAGTTATCGCAATGCTTAAAAAGGCTGGGAAGAAGCGCACAAGTAAATGGACTTACTTCATGGTAATTTATGGGTCTTTTGACCATAAAGACAACTTTATAGTTGCATTCGTTTTTTGAACCAGCACTTATTGGACATGAATTGTTACTTCAAGTTCTACAAAATATTTTGAACCAAAATTTTTCATGATAAGTGATCCAAACCATCCTCCCTTGATTTGTTTAAAGTTTGGTAACTGCTCATTTTGTTCACATTTTTATGATTCTTTAATTTCATGTTGTTGACACATTTTTGGCACGCTGTTGTTACATTAAGGTGGGCTTGTTGGTTTACACACTTCAGCATTTAGTTATTTAGCGTGACTGTTTCCCCACTAACATGTCACATTTTTGTATCCAAGAGATTCATAAAACCGTATAAAAAGTATTTTTCCCTTTTGCACAATCATGATGTACACGTTTGTGTGCATGCATGCATCTGTGTTTGTGTGTGGTTCGTGTGGACTCTCGGCTGCACACTGCTGGATCTGGTATGTTGATGATGAGGCGTTTGCTTCTCACTGATTCAGCTCTAATTAGTGTACTTGTGGCAAAACCAGCGCAAGAAGAGAGAGAAAAGTCAATGATTATGACAGAGCTTTATATACAGTGAGATCAAACGGCTAGGAAGACATGCGAGGAATAGGACTGTTATGTGAATTTTACTCCGATTGCCTGTAAGGTAAGCACCGCTTAACTAAGTTTTTATGCAACAGGCTAGTAAATAATTGCATAATTAAATAATGCATACAATGGGAATCACCAGTTTAGCAGTGCAGGAAAATAAAATCAGGGAAAGACAGTGACTGATCAGAAAAGGTCAAATGAAACGTTTAACTTTTTTACTTAGTCTTTGGAAGAGTTTGGTTTCATCACATACTGAATTTTCATGCAATTCAGGCTAATTGTATAAGCTATTAAATATTATTGTATGTATTATATAATAATAATACAAAATATTTGTCCATTTTTGTTTTATTTTATATTTTTGCATTAGTATTATGACTGAAAGCACATAAAAAATGTGCCTTGGAAATGGTTTGTTTTTATATTTAACCAAATAATCAGTTTCTTCACTCATGTCAAGAAATGCTCCACAGTCACTCTCCTTTACTAAAAACCCTGGATCTCAAAAATAAATATTAATACATTACTTCACATACTTTAAATATTTATCTTCATAGTTTTCTCAGCACTTCATCCAATACGCTCTCATATTTTCAAACTCCCACGGGTGTCACTCTTGCTAATGTCTATGTGCAACAGCTTGACTGCACTTGCTAGTTTTTAAAAGATTTGACCCATTTTCTCTGTGCCAGATTGACCATTTGACCTCCCTACTTGTCCAATTGCCTGTTTCAGTAGTTGACACCAAGCAATGGATTAAATTGATGTTTATATTTAACTCTCTTGTGAATTTACAGAGAAAACCACCTCATCACCAATAATGGTTGATCATGGACCAATCAGCTCTTCCATTCCTTCACCCAGCTGTACGAGCACCACAACTTCCACCTCTAAACCCTGGAGAAGCAAGTCGCTCAGCGCTAAACACACTGCCACATCCTCCATGGTAACGGTTAAACAACCAGCTCCAGATTCTCTTGAGGTTCCTCCTAAGGTGATTGCCCAGAAGTCCATGCTGGAAAAGCTCAAGCTCTTCAACAGCAAAACGGGTTCCAGAGCCTCCAAGGTTGTCAGTACAGACGATGTGGAGCATGTTGAACCAGAAGGCGGCCAGATTTGCCCCATCCACCCAGGAAACCAACGGCCTGTCACCCCCAGCAGTTCTGGCAGCTCAAGTCCCAAGCTAGCTCTGAAAGGCTTTGCACAGTTGACGCTTGGAAAATCTTTGGCGCCGAAAACAACCTCGGCAAAAGCGTCTGAAAACCTTAAAGAGAAGTCAAAGCCTAAAGAGAAAGAAAAGCTCAAACAGCTTCCTGTTACAGATCCCAAACACCTTAAAGGAGACACAAAAACTGACGGACTTGTTGTACTAGACTCGAAGAAGGCTGTTCCCAAAGGAAACAAAGCAAAAAAAGACAATGCAAAGTCAGCCATGAGTGGAATTCCCAAACCAAGCCAAGGAGGAAAGGGTTCAGCTGCAAATAAGACTGTAGCGTCGCCCCCTTGTGGTGCGGAGGGAGAGCGGTTACGGAGCACAAAGATAGGAGGTCTGTCTGTGCATAAAGGGCAGAAAGATAACAGAAACTACAGCTTTACATCTAGCTTAGCATTTTCAGATGGGAAAAGTAGCCAAGATCTCACCCTTGGTGGTGCGCAGACCCACTCAACAACCAGCAATATGGTCAGTGTGCAACTTCCACAGCTCCAGCAACAATACAGCCATCCCAACATGGCCACTGTCGCCCCATTCATGTACAGGTAACACCTTTGTGGGGCTTTTAATGTGTTATCCTGCTTACTCCATTTGGTTCTAAACTAGTATGTTGTCCTGTCACTATGTAGGTCTCAAACTGAAATTGATAAGACTGGGCTGGTGACACGAGCAGGCCTGTGCAGCAAATCTATCCATACTTCTCTTGAGAACCTGACAGGTAAGCGTTATGAGAATAATGAGAATGAGTACAGAAAAATAAACTTGAGTGTTGGGGAAGCTACTTGAAACTGTAATTGAAAATGATATAAATAGTCACTGCCACAAGTGAGTTGTTTAATCACTGTACACTGTAAAAAATAAACCGTAAATTTTACGGTAAAAAACCGGCAGCTGTGGTTGCCAGAACTTTACCGTTAAAAATACTGTAGGAACGTTAATGGTTTTACAGACTCAACTTAAAATTTACAGTAATAAACCGTAATTTATTTTCTGATAAAATCTGGATTTACCAACTTATTGATGTATTGGTATCTGTTTTAGACCATTGTAATAGACTGACCACCAACAATCATTACAGCAGTGATGAGAGTTACATGAGTAATCACAGCTCATCACAAGTGAATATTTGTATAAAGCAATACTTAATTCAAGAAGCTGCACAATGTCATTCACACAAACATTAAGCACCATCATGGTAACACAAAACAATAAACAAGCAATAAACATTAATTTAACAACATTAAATGTAACATATAACCCTAATGTACATAACTGATTAAAAAAAAACAATAAAACTATGAAGAACCATAGTTATTTCAACAAAAATACATAAAATGTGAAGTGTCACACAGGGAATTGTGGGAATGTCAATTTACGGTTTTTCACTGTAAATTATACAATGATTTGTTCTTTTTCACAAACTGTAAATTTAACGGTATTTTACTGTAAAATTAAATCACAGTTATTTACCGTGTATAGTACGGAAACTTTCTGTTTAACAATTAACAGTTTTGCACTGTAGCATTTTTACAGTATTTTACCGTTAAAATCACGGTTATTTTTTTGTGATTCACAGTGAATCATTTTAGTGAACTGCACCATTATGCATTTAGCAGAATTATAGTAAATAATTTTAGTTCCCTTTTGTCCTGGGAACTCCAACGTGTCGTCGGGGAGTTCCCTGACGAATTGGAATAAGACTCCCTAGCGTGATCCCAATTCGTCAGGGAACTCCCCGACGACACGTCTCCGGAACGAAGGTTACATACGTAACCGAGACGTTACTGGTAGCAAATCTTTTTAGTGATTTCATAGCAAATCATTTTAATGTTTCATAGTGTTAATAATTTTAGCAAATGATTTGAATAATTTAACAGTTCACTTAAATGAATCAGACATTTCAGTTTAGACTTGCTCAGGAAACCATTGTTTTACCATGTCACAAGGCTGAATGTTGGACTTGTTACTGGAAAAAACTGTTTCGAAACAGTCTAATATCACTCTACTAAACATTTTAGTAGTGTTGCCACTTTTGGATAGTTACTCCCCAAATCTAATGCCTGGTTAGGACAAGGTCATTAACTGTGTCTTTGTATAAAACAACACTGATTATTTAAGAATAAGTGAGCAGTGTTTTCCGAACTTTGAGGCCAATGTCAGGCCAGTCTGAGAGTGAACAAGAAAACAAAACAGCACTCATCTGCATGTAAAAGGCTATGAATGTCAAGGAGTTGCCAAGGCCTACCAGCATGTGTGTGTGTGTGTGTGTGTCCTGTCTCAGTCTGTCAGAACTTTGTGTGGAGAGAAAAACTCTTCTCCACAGGGGAAGTTCCCTGGGCTGGTGTGGACATGAGAGCTGTATTATAAATTCCCCTCTCTTTTCCATGGAGGAAAGAAAAAGGCAGGACCGCCATCACAAGAGCTTCTTTCACGAATCAGTCGGGACATTCTCTTGGAAAACAACTCTGAATGTGTCAGACAGACCTTTTATCCATCTTAATAGAAGCGTAGGAGAGTCAGGGACACGTTGCCACCAGAAAAAGCACAGGACATTAGTAGCTCTGTGAAGTCTTTTTCTGCAAACGAGACAAATATCTGTACCACTAGAAGAAGACCTAAATGAATCATCTTCTCAATGGACCAAGCAGAACGCCATTGTCCGTTGGCATCTCCTCTCCGAACTGAAGGAACAAGTGATGGTTCTCATGAGGACATCTTAGACTTGGATGACTGCTCCAGTCTCAGGAGAAAGGACAGGTTCTGGGGTGTAGACAGTTCTGGTGGACCTCCAACATCATCTAAATGTTTGGCTGAACACACTCAACCAAGTGTTTTGAATGAAAGGGAGCTCAACACTATCAGCTCTATATATCAGCTGCATTTGAGCCAACACTCTTGTGTGTGGGATGGAATTGCTCGGGTTAATGAGGAGATCCTTCTAACCATGTTGGACATGTTTGAGAAGCATGAAAGTGAGTAGATGAGTGTTGGATGACTGTTTTAAAAAACTAGGAGGAATTTAACACACCTGAAGTCTTGATTTTCCATTTTTGGCTGCTTTTTTTGTCACTTTTTATTCGATAAAGACAGTAACAAGAGGAGAAATGGACCTGCGAATTTTATATTAGAATGTGTAGTAACTGTTAAGACATCTCTTTTTTTCTTGGAAGTCTGCCATTGTTGGCTTGAAAGAGAAAACTGACTATACAAGAGGATGTTTTCGCATAGTGCCCCTTTTGGCAATTATAATCATGTGCGTTAACTGCTTGGCTAAAGCAAATCTGTTAATGTTGTTGTTGTTTTTTTATTTTTATTAGTTTTAGATAATGACCCTGAAATCTGGCATGACAGCAGTTGACTTGAAAAATTGAATATAGACCATTTTGCAAGATGTAAACAAAACTGGTCCAGAAGCACTTCCTGTTTCAGTTTTTTAACACTACATACAAGCTGGGATAAAATACAACCGACAGAACATATAAAACTGAGTCAAAAAGTTGAACAAACATCTTTAAGATTTTTTCTTTCCATGTGAAATAAAGAAAACAGCTACAAACTGAAACAGGAAGTGTTTTTGGACCAGTGTTGTTAACATCTTGCAAAATGGTCTATAGACATTTATGCTAATTTACGCTAGCGCCCAATGCTTAGCCTACTTGCGTTGCATTATCACTTTCATCCCATCAGATATCTTTGCAAATAAAGCCAAACTAAATCCTGTTTTAAAAATAAAATGTTCTATAATTGAAGTAGTTTGAGAGGAAACTAGTTTTTTTTTACCCAAAAGGTGGGAAGAGAACAAAGATTTAGCATTAGCCTAAGCGAGCAGTTCTGAAAGAGGTTGTTTGTGGTTTTTACAGCCTCTAGGAATGTACTTTTCCACGGCACTCATTCTTTTACACGTTTTACATCATGTGTGAGTGTTTGTGTGTGTGTGAGTGAGTGTGCTCTGTACCTTCTGAGCCCCTTGTGGACCTCTTATGATCAGTAAACAGCCGTTAATCCAAGCCAAATCCCCTCTCACCTACGGCATACACTGCGTGTTTATTTTTAAGCAGCGGTTGGCTAACGTTCCGTACGTTAACGTTGGTGCAAGAAAACAAAAAGCTCTTTTACGCTAGGAGATTTAACTTCACAAGAAGTTAAAGGGGCAGAGTTAGTGCTGTGATGCCAATACAGAGGTCGGAGTTGCTTCATTTACACTAGCCCATGATTCTTCGGGTTTTAGCTGCATTTCTGAAGTATTTTAGGTGTGTGAATGTGTGTGTGTGTGTGTGTGTGTGTTCAGACATGCTTTAGAGTTATAGTAGCAGCTGTTTGCAGACTTTGGTGATGGTGATGAGTCTGGTTTCCTCAGGTGAGGACTCCGAAAACAAGAGGCTACGTACTGCGAAAAACATTGCTGATCTGAGGCAAAACCTTGAGGAAACCATGTCCAGTTTGAGGGGGACGACACATGTCAGTCACAGGTAAAAGCCAGTGTGATGTGTTTTATTTTTTCTCATATTTTGTGTATGTTTCAGCCTGATAGAAGTGACTAAAGTTTGTTTAATTCTTCTGAAATATGACTTATCTTAAAGGAAAGTTTAAAGCAAAGGATTAGAGTGACGCTCTTACAATTGAAGCGAATGGGGCCAAGCCGTAAACGTTAAAATTTACTATTAAATTTTAACAGGAGAATTATTATTATTAAGTACTTTTGTAGAATTATTAGCACCAAATGTTTTCTTTTAAATCATTCATTTAAAAATAGACCCTATGCACTTCAATTGTCTAAAAGTGTCATTTTGATTACCCAACAATGATCTGGCGAACTGGTGGTCAACCCAAAGGGCTCCCGCTAGTGGTAGTTACTTCTTACTGCATTTTCTTCAGACTCTAAATGACTTCTATTCAGTAGGGTTGAAGTACAACATGACATTAATAATGACTGGGCATGCACAGTTCAGAAAGCACCCCATTGTTCCCGGGTGTGTGAACCCTTTTATCTCTGGGGGTTTGTGGGGTTAAACTCTAAATGGCTTTGAGGAAGACATTTTGATTGGCATTAGGAGCTCATTTGGGGGGTGCCGGGTTTTTTGTCTTTGCCGTGATCAGTTTGATACGCGTCTCGGCCTTCCAGGGTACAAAAGCTGGCCGTGAAATCGTCTGAAGGCCACATACTGCCTGCTAATACTAGATAAAAAGCTTGTTTTAATATCCCAATGAAACGCTGTCCCGACAGGATGCATAATTTTGCCAAAAATTCAACAATGCTTTTTGCCTGATGCTTGCTCTCTTTCTTTCAAAAAGGTATATTTACTCCCAAAAAAACTTACATTATTTACTCACCTTCATGTCATTCCAACCCCATATTATTTTCTTTTCTGAAACAAAAAAAGGATTTATTTATTTTTATTATTTTTTTTTTTTTTAGATATTTTACCGAATGTCTGCTGAATGTAGTTTCAGTTGTGGCTTGAATTTTTGTTAGTTAACTAAAACTACAGGGAATTTAAAATAATTTTAATTCTTTATTGAAATCAAGCTGGAAAAAAAATAAGTAAAGAATATTAGAAATATATATTTTGGCAACTTACTACCGAAAACCAATATAAATTAAAGCTAAATAGATATATTTTTTTTAAAAAAGTGACAAAAACAGAATTACTGAAATGAAAACTGAAACCACAGAAATAAAAGCCTATTTCAAATATTAGTAAATACTATAATGGCATAAATAATACTAAAATAACAAATTATTTCATTGATGAAAAACCTGAATTGATCAGGTGCCTGAAAAAACCCTTTTTATCATGTAAACCTCTCCTTTTGTCACTTCTTTGATATTAGGTTAAGAATAAGAATAAAAAAAAGAATAATTATGTTCTAGGTCTAACAAGTGTCCAATCAAAATCAATAAATAACATAAATATACGTAATTATTTATTGATTATTCTCTGATCATTGGTGTGTTTTTTGAACATCTTAAACTCATTTGTCACATATACGTAGTCAGTGATGTTATATTGAATCAGAATAAAATAAAGAACAAAGTCAAGATGTTAATAAACCCACTGTATAGTTTATGGTTATTATGTCATTAACTTCTCATGTTTTTTCTTTCTCGCTGCCTGCCAGCACTCTTGAGACCACCTTTGACAGCACAGTAACCACAGAGGTCAATGAGAGGGCCTTGCTTACCCGCCCTGCTTCTGCACTGCCCTGGCGGCTGGGCTCATCCAGTCCTCGTCTACAAGCTGGTGATGCCCCCTCTTCAGGAAACACGTTCGTACACCACGGCAGTGGCTCTGAGCGGCACACGCACAGACGTCAGACCTGCACACACAACGGAGTCGTCTGCGGCCTTGAGCTCTCAGAGAAGGTGGAGGAGCTGGAGGGCGTCGCCATGGAAACGGCAGGGTACATGAGTGATGGAGACGTCCTGGGCAAGAGCATGAGGGTGGATGGTGTTTCCACTGGGTGAGTGTGGTTTGATTCTGTGTTTGCAAAAGTTTTCAAATGTTACATATTGATAGATGACGATACATCAGCTTTAAAGTAGGATAGGCAATTATTTTATAAAATAAATGGTTACAAAACTCATTTCACATCCTGATAGCAATCAATATTAGAAGTGATCTAAAAACTAAAACATGTGCATATAACTTCTGTGGAAGTCTCAGGACCAAAAAATGTTTGTTCAATCAATACAGGTAAGAATGCATCGCTTTGTATCTGCCTCTGGGTGGCGCTCTTTAGTTAGTCCTTTTTGACTAGTTTATTTTGATTGATTTACTTTCAAACAGAATATTCTAATCAATCAATTTTCAATCAATCAACTTTTTTGAATATACAAAAAATGTGCAACTCATCCTTTTAACAAGTTCAAATGTCCGTTTAACGCTATATATCAAAAGATGCACTGTTAATGCAAGTGCGCAGTGGCTCGACGCGCCCTGCACTGAATTTCTACTGTGTCCCATGAGCAGTTAGCCACAGCTTTTTAGCATGTAATCATGTAACACAGATCCAGCTTTCTTTATTCACTTCACTCTTTCATTGTGCCGTTCCCTAGGAGCTCTGCCAGTTTTTGCCTGCATGCTCAAAGTCCCCGGTGCACTGGTGTGGTTTGTGGCAACATGCAAATTACAGTATGTTTAGATGGTGTTGTTTCTTGACTCTTGGCTTTGTTTTGCATCATGCAACATCCCAATAGCCCGTCTGCTTCTGTATGCAGCTTTCAGTAGCTAGTTACTGACATAAATATGAGAAGCCTCAATAGCTCTTTCATGTTAGTAATTATTTTGTTCATATGTCTGTTATCAGCTGTTAATTTCGGAGTCCATCAGTAGGACATGAAAACGCATCATGTAGCCTGTGGTAAGAGAACGGGAGTCAAGGGTCATGGGAAATATTCATAGTTGAATCCTGAGAGAGGGTGAATATATGAATATTTGGGGCACGAAGAGAAAGAGAGTACTTGAATTTACCTCACAGAGATGCATTTAGCTGACTTTTCGTGGAAAAATGTGCAACCTTTTGACCCCATGGAAGAGATATGAGGCTAGATCCAAATTTGGAAATGCGACTAAATGCACCAACACACGCAGCGAATGCAGAAATGCCGTGCATAATCTTTTCCTAGTCCTGTTCAAACAGGAATCAGACAGACACCTTTTATTGGATTCTCATATTCCTTCTGCTCAGTGCTGAATTCCAGTAGAGTGATTCTGTCACCACAAGAAAATCTTTGTGAGACATATGATCATAGTTGGAAAGCTTTTAAGCCCAATTACTGAGACCATATATGGATGGATTTTGAAACGCAGTCAACATTGGGTACTTACAGCAAATTCTGTTTCTAAAACCAGATGCTTTGGTTTGGATTAGTGTCTTTTTACTAGCTTATCTTAGTCCCATCTTAGTTACATGTTCAAATAATCGGATAAGGATTACATAAAAGGCATTTGAACAATGTTTTGTGGGAGATTATGTAGGGATCGTATTGATTTTATCCACTGAGATTTGACTGAATTGTGGATGCTGTGATTTATATACTGTATGTGTATATACATTTTATTTGAACATTTATTTATTATTTATATTATCCATTGAGATTTGATTGAGGTGTTTTTTCTTTATTTATTTATTCTATTCTATTTTAATAATTTTAACTAAGCAAAACTCAATTTTCTGTAGAAAACATAAAGGACTATTTTATTTTTAGTTTTTCCTGCCGATTTTTATTTATCATTCCTTGCCTATTCAGCCTTGGTTATGTCAACAGACACTATAGAGAGAAAGTTATTACATTTAGATGAAAGATGTTTTTGTTTGAAGGGTTTTCTACTATAGCACCAGGTTATTATTTGATTATACATTGTCTATCTATCTAGCTGTCAGTCTGTCGAGACTGCTGTTGAATGACTTGTAGCGGGTCACCAGGTCGGGGCAAATGAATAACTCCATGGGACTGAGTGTTTAACTAGTTGAAATAATCTTAACAAGCCTCTATTGCTCAGTAACTAAAGTTAAACAGAAGCCGTTGATCCCAAATGTGCCCATATAATAGGAAATATTGTCCAGTTATAACATTTAAACACTATTCACAAAGATAACTTCTTCAATAAGTATAGTACAGGTCAGGCAAGGGATGGTTTCATATCATGATTTATTATTTATTCAGTTTAATCAATATTAAATGGTCACATAAATCTACTAAACTGGTTTTGTCACAGTTTTGCTGTTTACTACAAAAAAGCCAATTTAATATTTTTGTTGTACAAAGATGCAAAATTATGATTGATTAACCAGGATTGTGAAATTCATTATATTTCCTGTCTTCTGATCTGAATCACACCTGATGATTCATTTATTATTTCATTATCTGTATGAATTATAAACCATAAATCATTAGTGTGGCGTATGCTGTTGGGAAATGTCCCACCTGTCCAGCAGGTTAGTGTGCCGCCCAGATGATGAAACAGTCACCTGACTCAGTCAGAGTGTGATTGCTTCACAGCAGGAAATGAGAGATCAAGCTAAAGGATGCGTGTCTTTTAAGATGCTGTGCCGTCTCCTGCAAACCTAACAACCAAAACGAACTCCCTCACATTATAATAAGCAATCTGATATAGTAAAAATGCCTATTTTATATTATAAATCTGCTTGATTATATATTATGTGTTAATGTCACTGTATGTAAACATTTAATAGATCATATGATAATAACACCTACAATAATGTTCCGTTTTTTTAACATTAGTTGCTTGTAATAGTTAACAATGAAAAATACCAATTAATTTTGTTAGCTTATATGTTAAATTCAAACTGTAATACATTATTAATAAATGTGCTACCATGAACTAAAAATAAATATGTATTGCTCATTGGGAAATAAATGTTAGCATTAATGTTATTGTAATGTGAATTAGTAATTATCATGATGAAACACATAATTGTTCTGTTAAATCTAATTTTACCAGGATAATTCATTTACTTTCAAGTAGTTCTGTCTTGCATGAGATGTACCTGTTTTACTGTGAAAATCATATTAACCTGAAACAAAGCTTATCGGATCAGCCTGTTATTATCAGCAATGCTCTCCCACCTGCTGTAGTTTTAAGTGTTTGGTTCATATTGCTTGTCGCCAGAGGGCAAATGACTGTTCTTTGAGAACCTGTAGAACATCCACTTAAATGGGTCAACAGAGTAAACACTCATCCACCTTGTGCCTCAGGTTAAAACACACTGTCCCACACAGCTCTCCTGTCCACTTCTGCCTGCAGTCCAACCCACAAGTCTTATTTTCTCTCTCTCTCTTTCCTCACTTCTTAATGTAGTTTGTCCTTAGGGATACTAAGAACACTGATAGGTGCTTACAGTAAGAACATAAACACATAAGCGCACACCTTAACAGTCAACAGACCTGGTCATGTGAAACCAACGACTTTCTTGATTGTCGCAGTCCTAGTTTGTGACTTTTTGGGAGGTGAGTGAATATTTTGAGTTGCATGTTGGTTATGGTTTTGTTTGTTAAACTGAAATAGGTACTAAATTTAGTTATAGCTGCTTTGGGTAATGAACTGTTTTTGAATTGAGATTCATTTTAACTAGCTAAAGAGATTTGTAAAGTTATTCAATGTGAGGTTTATTTTTTTTTATTAAAAAATGCATTAATTGGTTTGTTGGTTTGAAAAATACGTTTATATGGGTTTGTAAAATTGTATTTATTATATTTATTTTTTACACAAATAAACCCAAAATATCAATATATAACATAAAAAATGTCAGTTATAATAACAAAATCTTGGCTTTGAGTAATTCACTATGGTTTATTTTAAAATTGCTAGACCATATCAATCAAATCAGCCATGGTTATTGTTAAATAAAACCAAAACCATTAAAACATTTTTTTTTATAAAATAAAATATGAACTGAAATGAAATAAAATATATTTCAGCGAGTTGTCAAGGTAACATTTCTCATATTCGTTTAGTTTAAGTTGAAGTACCTAAAATTAAATAAACAAAAAAACTAAAACTTAAAAAAAAATTAAACGAATTAAACCTTATCAAAAACCATACTACTATACCAATACTAGTATACCAATATAACACTGATCTGACCGCCCTGAAAATCGATATAAAGTAAGTATATAAAAATACATAGTATATGTGTCCTTTCGGTACAATCAATGACAAGATCTTCTAACGTTATAGCACGTCTCTACCTATGCGTTTCCACGCATGTGGTAAAACTGGTTTTTCCTGTGGTGGATTTCTCTTGACATTGACAAACGTTTGTCTTTACGCTGTTAGTTGAGCGAATTGAATTCATTTGTTATGAAAGTGAACGTCCAGACACAACATGCTGTCAAAGGAGCTGAATAAGTATAGATCATAGATCACCAGACGGCGGGCAACGTCATGTAAAATATCTTTTTGTTATTGCGTCTCGCTACATATTTAACTCCAGTGTTTCACAAGACAGCCTGTCCATGCTCGATTAACAGATAAGACACCGCATCACACCCGTAATTGCGTCTTGTTAATATCTTGTGTGTTAAACTAGCATTTGTGTGTGTGTGTCTGCAGCTACATGACCGACGGAGGTCTCAACCTACACTCCCGGAGGGTTAACTGGGTCTCGGATGGCATGAACTCCGTGAGAGGGACCGTTCACCACTTTAATCCCAAGAGTCAAGAAGACACTGATAGGTAGAACTTAACCTTTCACCTTTGCATTGCATGCACTAACTCACCCTGTAGACTCTCATTTTCCATGTATTCTGTTTCTTATGATCAGTAGTCCTGAGTGTAGATCGCCACAGGATGTATGGTAGTCAAACCGGAGCATTTCAGATGGGCAACAGAGTTGCTTTTGTTTCCTCACAATGGAAGAGAGTAGTCATTGTCTTTGTGAGCGCCAAAGGCAACAACTAATGCATCAGTTTAGGCATACATCCACTTCTTTTTGCGTGTGTGCGTTTGCTCTCACATTCGGTGTGCTTTTGTGCCGTCCTGCAAGCCCTGCGGCTGTTTAACATCCCACATCCCTCACCGTTTGTGCTGTGTCTCCTCAAGCGCAACAATAGTGTCTGTGAACATGGAAAACCGTCTGTGTTTTTACTAAACACATTCTGAACTGACAGTGGATGGCATATTTATTATTAAATGCGTCTGGTGACTCATTAGTTCAGAACTGAAAGATATCTGATTTGTCTGCTTTAAAAGGGAAAATGAAAAATGTAGAGATCGAAAACAAATAATAGGTAGGTAAGTATGAATGATTGATTGATGGGAGGATTGGATCTGAAAGAAGCCTCAGAAAAGACTTAATTTTCCTTATTTCTTCTCAAGAGTTTTTATTAGTGATCATTATAAGCTTCTCATTGATCATTCATGCATCTCGTGTTGTCTATACTGTGGAACACATATTTTGAAAAATGCCTGTTTCTTTTTTTGTTGTTTTGGACCCCATAGAGTTCAACAGTCAGGTTGCGCAAGTATAAATGTGTTTTTTAATGATAAAAACCTTTAAAGACAGCCTAATGTGAGCTACAATGTTGTTAAACAATGGTATATCTATTTGTTGAAGCCATCAGTCCACGTTATTTCAACTTATTTTTTAAATAATCATGTTTAAAGTGTAACTAAACACTTAACCAACTTTTTTTAGTTAATGATCTGTAAGAATGGATCTTTATTAATACCAGTCATTGATTCGAGTAACTTTTTTGACATTTGTTTATAAAGTGTTCTATTTCTACAGTATATGGTGTAAAAACGTCTTAGTGCTGCCCTCTTCAGGTTGAACGGTGGCTACTGCAGTTGAATTTTCCTATTGGATGTTTCGCACTTCGTGACGCACCCAGGTTTCAGCTCACCCCGCGAGCTACGCCCTTGGCAGTATAAAAACCATCTTGTGTCGTCAAAACCACTGTAGGGAGTCAGGAATTGGAATTGTGAGTATTGAAAACTATCAGGATAGAGTGTTTTAGCATCTATTTCGTCCCCTCTATCTCCGCTGGGGTCTGCCCACTTTTTCAGCATTTTCAAATATTGCCAGTGGGTGAAGTCAGGCTCCGACCAGGGTTTTAGTTACCCTTTAACAGCAAAATTCCTATGTGATAAACTACTTTACCCATGATTCAACAGAGAATCGCCAATCAAAGAATCTAAAAAAGTAGATTTGCAGCAAAACAACACTTTAGTGCCCACCGTCTCCTATGAAGCACTGCGAATGATGTAAGAGTCACTCTCTCTACCTACTCAAACTACAGTACTAACATAATTGTATATTATATATTTTGCAACATTTTTAAATCAAAAGTTTTATATTTCTCTCTAACAAAGTTTGTTGTTATGGGAAGGAGGCGGAAACCGGCGAACATTCAACAACGTTTAATAAAATATATAAACAAATACAAAAACGAAAGTAAAGGCCTCTCTCGTCCTTCACTGTCGTCGCTCTGTGAGAGATACGAGACCGGTGCGTCACACAGGTGTCGCTCATTATCACTCACGCCACCGGCCTCGCGCCGTTCTCTCAAGGCCCTCGGCCTCGTCCTGCTCGCCACATTTACCATTTTTAATTTGATTGTCATTTGCAATGCTTCATGGGATTGTAGTTATTTCCCTATTTGAAGTCGTTACAAAAGTCTTGTACGGTTAAGTACAGTCTTGTCATTTTTGTCCAATTTTTTTTGCTTCTAATCAAAGTTTGTAAATTTGTAATTTACCTTGTAGCTCATGGTTGGTAACGGACTTTTATTAAAACCATTTGAAAAACAAATGTATGCAAAAATACTTCTGTAACCAAGATGGCTTAAGTTGGCAGGCACTGTTGCACTTTATTGAATTTAATATCTTTTGTTGTGTTTTCATAGAAAAAAAGTTTGTGTAGACATGAGAGTGAGCAAATGTCGACAGAATTGTAATGTTGGGCGAACTCTGATTGGTCATTGACATTTTGGTTTGACAGTCCAGTCCTGCGAAGTGGACCAGACATTGTCTGCAATGAAAAGTCTGGCTCTTCAAGACTAAACCCCTGTCCTTGATGAAGTCAGTGGAGAAGATCTCGCTGATAAACTGGCATTTGATCACAATCTTGGCAGAAAAAGAGTCAGAGTCAGATTGATGACCTACAGACCAGTTTTGTTATCCATGGTTTTCCAAATAAGGTAATTTTCTTGAGCCCAGCCAGGTGTGTTCCCAGGATTCTGTGCCCAGTACCTGTCAAGATATCATCTTAGTGCCCAGATTGATACAGGTGAAAGAGGGATGATCTAAGACCTTGTGAAATGTTGCTAGAGGGTGGGAATGGTGAGAATCCAATGGGAATTCCTTTTCTGTCCTCTTTCTTACTGGAAATGTCATGTTTAATTTTGGAATTCTTTCTCTAACAGCAGCTGGTGTAAAAAACAAAAGCATTAAATCTTTTTGCTCACGTTATTTCGACTTGCTTTGTCATCAAATCTTCCAAAACAAACTCCGGTCAGTGAAGAAAGATGAGGTGGTGTGAACTTCAGTGGTGCATCCCTCTGAGAGCTGCTTAAATTCCATCGTGAGGGGAGCCATGTTGGTTTTGGAGTTGGATGATGTGGATGCTGTAGAAAATTATTTAGATTAATTTGCTATACTGTAAATTCAGTCAACGCTCCTTTGATCAGATCATAACTCTCGCTTTTGGTTTGGTGATCCTTTGCAGCTGATGATTCTTCTTGTTTTGCTTTGACTATATTTGTCTTGCAGATGATAAATTGTATTTTATTGATATTATGCTATGATTAGTAGAACCAGGGCATATTCACATAAGCACTCTAGTGTAACTGTATATATATATATATAATATTTTTTTTTAATATCATGTCATATTTTTTGATGAATAAAGTGGGTTTAACCCAAGTCTTCTGAAGAGACATGATATATTTATTTTTATTTTTATATTAAGCATGCCGCACCTGTTTTTTTGTGATAAAGGAAATAGGACCACCCTATACTTTTACATAGATATTCAGACGCACCCTCAGAAATGACAGTCGTCTCAAGCATGTGGTGTGTGAATCTCAGTGTAGTTTCCTGCCGGTGGAGGGATGTCCGTTTTTCAGGTCCACGATGACTGCTACATTGTGTGTGACTGTGTAATTTGGCCGTGGCATTTCAAACACGGCTCTGAAACGTGATCGGGGCGTCTCGCCCTGGAGAAAGGGGCTTGGGGACCATGTCTGGACTGAAAGGAGAGCCCTGGTCAAATCCACACCCACACACAGAGGAAATGTGCCATATTGCGCACACATTTGTGGGTCAGTGGTTTTCATAGGTTTCATTGCATGTGAATGCCTTTGGTATTCTACATGCTCTAAACCAGATCAAGCTTTTAGTCAGATCAGTTTTCGCTACTGTAGCTTTAAGACTTCTGCATGTAAATGACCTATTTGTAATGATTTTCTAAAGTCTACCAGTGTAGACTTTCATTCATCAGGGTTGGCTAAGTTGCTGAATACAGAATAGACATTAATATGTAAGTGGTCATCTGTTAATCATGTCATGGTTCATTAACTAGAGCTGGGAAATATAACTGAAAATGTATATGAATATGAATATTTAATAAATATTTCTTGATATTTATGTATTTGAAATTTGTTTTGTTTTTATTATAATTATAATTTTTAATTTTTTTTGTATTATCTATTGTATTTGTATTATTTTATACAAAAATAATAATATATTTAAATTATTTATTTAATATATGTTCATATATTTTTCAGCCTTTTGATTAGACATTTATCTTGATAATCTGAAACCTTCTTTTTTGTTTTTTTACATTAGAGCAGTAACATGATATGCCCCCTTTAAGCAATATTTGATTTATGTCTTGCGTTGCAACCAATATTTTTCCGAAGGCATTTACATGGAATTGAATGTGCTTCTTTCTTTTTCCTATCTTTGTTTTTAGATGTCAAAGTAATTTTCTTGCTGATATTTCTCTATAATGCAGTTTTGTATTTTGTTAGTTTCTATCCGCCAGTGTTGTTTGGCTGTTGATAAATGAATGTTTTTGCCTACTGAATTTGACCAGAAGTCTTTGGGGCTACAAGACATTCTGCCTACACAAACGTGCTCTCCAAAAGAGATGCAAAAAAAGATGAGCTGGCAACTTGCCTTCTTGCCAACAAGCAAGCCCAGCAGGTACAGTCATGAAGTTCATAGTAGGGCTGAAAAAAGATCTCTCTGCACTTTCACGCTTCTCTCGCTCCTCACCGCACACCCAGACTCTCCAGTAAAAGCACAGTAGCTGTGGCTGATTAGGCTCTTTGAAAGCATTGGTGTGTCTGGTTCACTTCTCCGAGATCTGATATTGTGTCCCTGTGATCTGCTGTACCTGTAGAGTGCCAGATAGAAATAGACTGAGAGAACTGAACACATTAGACTTGACTGACCGGTCTAAAGCTTTTGTACGAGGCAGTGAAGTGTGCTATTGAGGGTGACAGCTGAGGTTTCTTTGTATTTTTGTGTGAGTTTGTGTGCATTTATAGATGTGTGTGCCCAGTAACTAGACCTGCAGTTTGTTTTGGCTGGTCTCGAACACTTCTGATTAAGTGTTAACGCTTTACATAACCTGATAGCTGTTTTTAGGTCAGTTATTTTCTTTGTTTGTCTTTGTCGTTTTATTTTGTTTTGCAGTATTTTGTTTTGAAGGTTTTCTTGTATTTCAT